CCCCCACATCCAGGATTGAATCAGAAACAGTGCCTCCCAGGTCCCTGCCTGGCAGGAGCAGGGCCACTGCCCTCCGTGACAGGGACACTGGGGACACAAAGGGATGGAGGGGGCAGCGGTGGGTCTTGAGGGCACCTAAATGGGTCTCTTGGCTTGGGGGGCTGACCTGCTGTCTCTGCTTTTGTGGGGATCTGGATGTTGTTCCTGGCCCGAGAGATGGGGCTTTTCAAGCACCCTGGGGATGTCCCCTGCAAGGCACAGTCAGTGTCACAGGGTCCCTTTTGGGGACAGGACCTCACTGCCTGACCTACTGCAGGGCTGGCCTCCCTCTGACCTGCTCCTGGAGCTAGAGGGTACGCGAGAAAGATATGATCCTGGGATTAACCCCAGTGGATCACAGGGCCGCTGAGGAGGCCCCTTGCTCACAGCCTTGCCCTTCCCTTGCTGGCAGGGCAGGATTTGTGCCTCTGCTGCTCCTGGCAGTTCTAGAGCTCTGCTGGCTTTTTGCTGATGGATTTCCTGAGCACCATCCCTGGCCCGTTGTCGGGGGGGGAATTCTCTTATTGGCATGAGGCCAAAGGAAAGACACCCCTTTCTTTGCAGAAGCATCCAGGGCTGGATTGCATTAAAATATATTTGCCCCCTAAATCCCTTCCCTGAGATCAGGGAAACATTCTCTGCTCTTCCCCCTGTCCCTGGGGTATTTTCCAGTCTGTTCCTTTCCTCCTGCTCTGTATCCTGGTCTTTCTGGGCTCTACTGCTCCACAAATCTCTGGGGAGCTTCCCCTGCTGGGGGACCATGGCTCTTTGGGGGTCCACAGTATCCCTGCTCAGGAGCAGGGAGATGTTTCCTCCTCCACAGCCCAGGCTACTGGGCACAGGACACTTCAAATGAGATTGGCTTTTCAGCTCCATGTGAACGGGAGCTGGAAGGAGAAGGTCTCGGTGTTTTTTCCATTGTGCCTGCCAGGTGGAGACAACTTGGACTTTTTTGAGTGTGAAGCTGTGCTTGGGCATTTCTCTGCGTGCAGGCAGAGCAAAGTGATGGAGTCGGGATTACAGCTGACCCCGGGTGCCAGAGAGCTGTGGGTGCAGGCAAGGAGCAGAGACAGGCCCCTTCTCTCGGGGTTCAGTCCTTGTCCCACACAAAGTGTAGCTGGAATGTGACAGCCAGCCTCTCCAGGGTGCAAGGACTGGGGGGCTCTGCACCACTACCCCCATCAGCAAGGCTTCTGCAGGGGAAAGAGGAGCAGCAGCTGAGCCCTGGGTCTCAACATCCATGAGATGTGGAGATGTTGGAGTGCCCGAGGCCACCAGCAGCTCAGCAGCCCCCACAGAATCCTGCCATCACCATCCTGGTTGTGCTGGCTCCTGCCCTGATGCTGTGAGCAGCCTGCCCTGTGGCTTCTCCCGGTGGACCCAGGATGGGGAAGTAGACAAGGCAGATGGCTGTGGAGAAACGTCACAGTGTGGGCAGGAAGGGCTGCCTGACTTGCCACCAGCCCCCCTCGCACACTGCAGGTCGTGGGGCCGGTACTGGAGCTGCTCCAGCAGCCGCTGGCCTCGGAGGATTAGAGCATCACCACAAATGCCACAAGGCGGTCAGGTCTCAGCCAGTGCCTGCCCGCAGGAGGCTCGTCCCTGCCCTCAGCTCTCACTAGTGTGGTTTTCATTAGTGTGTTTTCTTTGTCACACTGTGCAGAGCCTCGGGTTTGAGGGCGGGAGAGGGGGGGCTGTGCTTTATAAATCCAATTAGCTTTGTTATTCAAATTACTCTGCCGAAGTCAGAGCCGGGCGCACACAAAGCCTTAACTCAAACCAGATCAGATCCGTTGGGGTGGCAAAAGCTCAAAGTGGGGAGCAGAGGTGTGCAGGAAGGGGTTAAGAGTGTGAAACCCTTTTGGCTGGTGGGGTGGGGGCCTGAAAGCTTTTAACCCTTAAAGGGATGGGCCTTCATTAGTGCACAGCCCTGTGGAATGACCACCCAGGATGAGAACTGGCAGACTCAGGGCATGTGTGGAGAATGAGAAGTGAAAAAGAGATAGGCTGGGCTCACAGGGGTCTTTCCCAGGCACTGGAGAGCAAAGAGGATCCTGCACAGCTGCACAAGGAGGAATGGAGACCTGTGGGGTGGGCTGGAGGGGGTGACAGCCCTCCCCATTTCACCCAGGGGCCCAAAGAGAGCCAGGAGGAGAGAAGGGGCTCCAGGGCTGGCCTGTCCCTGAGAAATACCAGCGTTGAACCCAGATTATGGGGAATGGGCTGCTGTGGGGATAAAAATGGGAAGATGCTGGTGAATCTTGGCAAAGTGGGGTGAGCCCTGAGTATGGGGACTTTTGGTGTGTAGGGAGTGGGGAAGGGAGCAGGGACTGTATTGTGTGTGTGAGAGGGCACATATGCCCCCTGTCTGAGGATGGAGAGGGATTCATCAAAGTATGACCAGTGCCAGCATGATTTGGAGAGTGGGAGGAGATCGGTCATGGGGATATGTGTGACAGTAACATGGAGTGTTCTGGCCCCATCACAAGGAAGGGGTGAGAAATGTCTGTGGGTGAGGCTGCATCCTGCTGGGCAGCAGTGGGGCCCTGGCTCTCCTGGCTGAAATTAGGAGCCAGGTTCCAGGCACCTTTGGAGGATGATGTCAAGAAAGTTTATAGGATAGAAATGTGGACTCAAGTCTACTGTAGCAGTGAACAGACAGTGATCCATCTCCATTTTCTTCAACTCACTTATCCTTAGGAAGCACATTTCTTATTGATTTGGGAAATCACTGGCCAGATTTATGTCTCTTCTGCTGCCTTGGGCCAGGAGAGAATTTCCTGACCAAGAGATGGATAACCCTAGGATGAGGATTTTCAGCTGATGCCATGTGAAAGCCAATCATCCCTTTGCAAAAAAGAGACATCAGAAGGCTGAGTGCATGTGATGGTGATGCCAGAGTGGCTGATGTTTTCCCATAACCAGCAGCCAACTGAAGGAGTTGTTGGTTAAGGACTATCCCAGGTGGTGGGATGGAGGAGGTACAAAGATGGAGCAGCCATTAGGATAAAGGAGCTACTTGCCCTCCAGCAGAGTCACCAACTACCAGTCCCCAGGAATATAATGTGTGCTGTGTTCACCAAGAGAATGTCAGCAAGGGTTTGATGTGCTGCAACACGAGATTTTTACAGTTGGTTTTCTTTTTTTTACAGGTTTTAAAGTACCTCTCCAGGAGTCTGATGATAGTCAGCTCAGTGAGAAGCAGTTTGAAAAGAGATTTCAATTTTGATTATTGGGTTGGATGAGCAGCCTCTGGTGCAGGCAGAGGACTATCTGGTACCCCCTCTGTGGTGATGTGCCTCCTGAGGATGCTTTAAAGAAAGTTTTTTCTGGGGAATAACTGTAGCCCCTGAGTCAGGAGCATTGTCCAGCAGCTCAAACCTGGCCACTGCTAGCCCCCAGCCCCAGCAGCCACCAGGTTGGTATGGGGATGGAGTGGGTCCACACACTGGGGTGTGATGCTCCTGGGGTGCTGTGTGAAACACTGATGGAGATTCTGGACTGTTTGAATATTCCTGGTGTTTGTTTTGGCTGCTGCTGCTGAATGAGGCATTACAGGAAACACTACGTGATTTTGCACTTTCCCCTGTTTCCTTTGGGTCTGGAAGAGGGCTCTGTCTGAGGATACAGGCATGGCCAATATCCCCCCTTCCCAAACTGGGATGGTGATGGGGAGACACCCCACAGAGCTGCCCTGATGGGTCTGTCAAGAATGGAGTTGCATGTGCTGCAAGGGTTAGAGACCAAGTAGGCTTCTCTGACCCCTCCCAAAACCTCCCAGGCTGGCAAAGCTGAGGAGAAGAGGACAAGCCCTGGGCAGAGACTCATAGGTCTTTGCCAGTGAAGTGCTGATATTCTGACAGGCACAGTGTATTTTTCCCCCAGGGCTTTGCCTTTTGGGATTTGCCACTTCTCCTGGACTTCCTAGGATTCTACAGTTTCCTCCTGATATTCTGGGTGTTTTTCCCAGGGCTATAATGGGATATCTGTGCTCCAGAGCTGGGATGTCTCACTGCTCTGGTGGGAGCAGGAACACAGTGTCTCAGGGTTTTGTTGAATGTCAATAAAATTAAGCAATTCTAACACACGGGTGACTCCACACCATGAGCCTCCCTCTGCATCAGTCCTCAGAGGATATGAATTGTACTGCCTCCAGCTCCTGGCAGCCTCAGCTCTGCAGCTGATGTAGGGGCAGGTTGCTGGGATTTTCCAAACTAAATGCCACAGTCGTCT